TGAAGTGTTTGTTTACCTCCATAGAAGAGCTGAAGTGTTTGTTTACCGCCATAAAAACAGCTGAAGTGTTTGTTTACCTCCATAGAAAAAGCTGAAGTGTTTACAGACTACAGCCAGCACCTTGTTTTGTTTACGTTGAGTGTGGACCCACACTTCATCAGAACATGTGAAAGCTACAGGAGTGAATCAAATGGCTCCATCTGAGGAGCTTCATGAGACGCGTTTGACAGTGAGGAGCTTTAACGGAGCTAAATGCCTCCATTAGTGTTTCAACACGTTTATTGTTAAATAAATATGTTGTGAATCTGACGCTGTATTGACTTTAGGAAAAGATGACTCTTTTATTTGCTCTAATTTTTGAGAAGAATAAAAACATTAAAATCTTCCCAGATGGTTTGCAGAGACTGACCGTTCCTCCGGCTGATCACCTCCACGATGGATGGGGGGAAGAAGCCCACCTGGTCCGTCCCCCGCTGGTTGTCGTGGATGTGTCCCTTCCAGCGTCCGTCTATGTGCTGCTCCAACACCTGGGGGGACATCAGGGATCAGGGTGGGGTCTGACAGAGTTAACCAGGAGAACGTGTTGTTCTCTGAGGTCAGCTTGAAATCTACAGGAACACTGAAGGGTCCAACATTTAAGGTTCTTCTCTACAGCCCAACAGAAGTCTGGTATTTCTAATTCTATCTAATGTAAGTCAAAACAGATCCTAACACTTATTTTGAAGTGCATCTGTAAGCTTTATTTTGAAACTCCAGGTTGAAACCTCGACCCGTTTAATTTTTCATGAAGTGTAAAGTTCTGAGAACAAAACTGTTTTATGTTGGGGGTCATGATGGAATAATGTAACAAGGAAGAAGTTGCCGAGTCATAAAACATCCACTGACTCAGAATCTTCTGAGTCATTGGTTGCTATGGTGATTCCCGCCCTTTCTAAGGGTGGAAACAGGGGTCTTGCCCTCAAACGAGACAGAAACAAGTTTTTCTTCTGGTTGGATCTGAAACAGGAGGCATCAGAGGAGTGTCTCACCATGATCACGTCTCCTGCTCGAATGTTCAGAGCTGTCGGGTCGTGGAGGTTCCAGTGGTCCTTCAGAGCTCGGACCTGTAAAATACCCGTGGCATCTGCCAAGGAAACAAAAAGTTGGGTCAACCAACGGTGGAGTAAAACATCAACCCGTTCATCTAAAGAACACAAACTGTAGAAAAGTTGGAGATGCAAGGACATCAGTGGAGCACGTCACATCACTTCCTCCCCTTCTTAGTTAACCCGTCAGGAGATGTTTCCCCCTAAAAGAGGCGGAGCTTTTTTTTTTATTCCTAAAAGGGGTGGAGTTATTTACTAAGATGGTATCTCTGTTCTATTCCCCCTTAAAGCTGAAAAAAAGATCACAAAATAAGCAGAATATACAGTTGTAAAATAATTAGAGAAGATCCAGGGAGCAGAAGTTAGACATCTTGCTGAGTTATGTTCACACAAACGCTGAAGACAATAAAAAGTTACCAGAAAACAACTTAAAGATGAAACCTGTGCTGTTTGGAAAAGACCTACTGATAGAAAACCAGCATTCTGTGGGTGAACAAACTGTAAAATAAAAAAAATAAATAAACAAACAGCTTGACCAAAACCCAGACCTGATCAGGACATTACAAAATAAAACTTCTGTAGAAACATCTAAACAACTGTTGAATGAAAACTATTAAAACTATGAAGTTATTTTATAAACATCTTTTTTTTTTCATCATTCACACTTTCTGCATTAAACTCCTGGTCACGATTTTCTGCTTTTCCTCAAACTTTCAGACAAAAACAAACATTAAAACAGAATTTGAGAACAGAAAGAGGCAGATCTGGTTCAACACACATTTTATTTTTTTATAAATCAGAACCTAAACTAAACAACCAGAGGGTGTGCTACAATTACTCTCCTTAGCCTCCCTGTAAGGTCTATTCAGGGGTTCTGGAGAAGCGAGTCCGATCATTGGTTGAACCTCAGATCCAGGAGGAACAACGTGGGTTCAGTCCTGGCCGTGGAACACTGGACCAGCTCTTTACCCTCACTAGGGTCCTTGATGGGTCATGAGAGTTTGCCCATCCAGTCTACATGTGTTTTGTGGACTTGGAGAAGGCTAGGTGTTCCTCTGGGTACACTGTGGGGGGTGCTCTGTGAGTATGGGATTGGGGGCCCGTTAGTACGGACTGTTCAGTCCCTATACAAGCAGTGCGAGAGTTTGATTCTCATTGCCGGTAGTAAGTCGGACCCTTCAGGGTGGAGTTGGACTCCACCAGGGATGTTCGTTGTCACAGATTCTCTTCATAAATTTTATGGACAGAATTTCTCGGTGCAGCCAGGGGGTGGAGGGAGTCCAGTTTGGTGGCCTCAGGATTCCATCTCTGCTCTTCGCAGATGATGTGGTCCTGTTGGCGTCATCGTGCCGTGATCTTCAGCTCTCACTGGAGCAGTTCACAGCAGAGTGTGAAGCAGCTGAGATGAGAATCAGCACCTCCAAATCTGAGGCCATGGTCCTCAGTCAGAGGGTGGATTGTTCTCCTCAGTTCGAGGGTGAGGTTCTGCCTCAAGTGGAGGAGTTCAAGTATCTCGGGGTTTTGTTCACGAGTGAGGGAAGAATGGAGCGTGAGATTGACATTAGCTGTAAGGCAAAGCTCTGTTTACTGGTCGGTCTACGTTCCTACCTTCACCTATAGTCATGAACTCTGGGTAGTGACTGAAAGAATGAGATCATGGATGCAGGAGGTTAAAATGAATTTCCTCTGCAGGGTAGTTGGACTCTCCCTTAGAGATAGGGTGAGAAGTTCACACCTGCACATTCTGCAGCTGGAAACAAGACAGGAAAGTCGCACGTTTGAAATCCTCCCTCAACAACAACTGCTCGTTATTCTCGTTTGTTGCGGCGGCAGCTTCAAATGGCGGCAGTATCACAGCGTCTCCACGCCGCGGCGCTGCAGGACTTCAGGTTCAGGCATGAGCAGACAGATCAGCTGCTGCTTGGGCTACAGCTGGTGGACTCAGGTGGAGCTCAATGTCAAACAGGAAGTGAAAACGACAGAGGACAAACAGGAAGTGAGGACGTCAGAGGACAAACAGGAAGTAAAGATGTTTGAGGACAGACAGGAAGTGAAGATGTCAGAGGACATAAAGAAAAACAGTGTGTGACCTCTGACCTCGGAGCAGCTGCTTGATGTCCCTGCTGGCGTGAGACGTGGTGAACTGGTTGACGATGTCCAGCGCCGTCTGGTTGTAGGTGTTCCGGATGTTCACGTCCACTCCGGCCTGAATCAACAACAACAAGCTGATACTTCCTGTTGGCTTTGACCCGTTTGATTTCTTCCATATAAATTTATTATTCTCAAAGTGTATTAATTTACTTGGAGCTTTGTTCAGCAGATCTTCAATAGTACCAGACTTTATGTTTCAGTTAGCAAGTGTTAGCCTTCATTCAACACTGGCTAACAATATTACATGGAGGCTAATGTAGCAGCTAAAATGGTCCTAACTGGGCTACAATATAAAATATATGCTAATATAAAGCAGATAAGATTGTCTTTCTTTGACAAGTCTAGACATATCCATATTAGCTGAACAAAGACAATCTTATCTGCTAAGTTAGCCTCCACAGGATGTTAGTTTAAAAAGATATTTATTAGCAGTTACATAAACTTGAACAACATATTTTTAGTCTTTATATTAGACTAATAATTAATAATAACTTATTAACCTGATCAATGGTTACCAATCAGTATATCTTTTGAATACCATAAAGACAGTAGTTGTTAAATTAGCCAAAAAGATGCTAAAAGTAGCATTAGCTTCATTAGCATGAACAGCTTTCATTTAATAACCTTGGCTATGAACAAAAAAGCAGCTTTAAAAGAAGCTGCAATGTTTCTCTGAAGGGGAAATGTTTCCAGCTGCTTCAGCTACTTCAGCTGCAAGTTCAGCTGTTTAAAGATTAGCAGCGTAAGCCGCTACGTCCCGCTGCGTCAACTGGAAGTGGTTGTTCCAACATGAGAACGGATGTTTAAGGGTGCATTCACACCAGCCCTGTTTAGTCCACTTTAATCGAACTCTAGCTCGTTTTCCTAGAAAGTCCGGTTCGTTTGGGGAGGTGTGAACGCGCCATCGAACTCTGTCACGGAACAAAAAGGCGAACTCTGGCCTGGGCTAAAACCTAGGTCTCGGTCCGGTAGAAGTGAACTCCAGCGCGGTTCGAGTACAGTGTGAATGGAACAGACCGGACCCCGCTCCGCAGGGTAAACAAACACGCATTTCTCTGACCTTATATGGAGCCGTCAGCTGCCTTGTGTGGAAAAACAATATTCTCCATGGTCTTCTGTCTCATCTTCTGCTCATGCTAAGTCCATTTTAGAAAAATGACAAAATATAACTCCTAAAACTACTAAAACTTGATGCCACTTTGTTTTTATTTTTATTTACAGAAGAAGACGTGTCTTCAGAGGTTTTTGTGTCGTTTATTTCAGTAGTTCTTGGTGCAGCGCCCCCACAGGCGAGTGGGGGAATAGGTTGGTTCAACAGGTTGACTCGACTGCACAGTGCAGTGTGAATGCAAACGCACCAGCTCAAATGTAAACAAAAGCTCATGAATATTGGTCCCGAACCGAACCGAGTCTACCGGACTATCTGGTGTGAAAACGACCTAAAACACTTTGATTTCAGAAGCAGTGCTTCTGAAATGCACTGCAATGACCAGTCCAGACCTCCAGAACCCATCTAGGCCTCTAAAACCCATCCAGACCTCCAGAACCCATCTAGGCCTACAGAACTAATCCAGGCCTGCAGAACCCATCCAGACCTGGAGAACCCACCCAGACCTCCAGAACTCATCCAGACCTGCAGAACCCATCTAGGCCTGCAGAACCCCAGCCTCCACATACATCTAGAAATTAACTCACGTCCAGCAGCAGTCGGACCACCTCAGTTTTTCCGTACAGCGCAGCTTCATGAAGAGCGGTTCCAGACTTGGTGGTCTTGTTGATGTCGATCCCGGCCTTCAGGAGCAGCCTGAAGAGAAATAAATCTGTTTTTAACGCTCGCTGTGTGGCAGTAAATTCACTGCCATGTGAAGAGTTCTAACGTTCAGAATGACTCGAGAAATGTTCAGACAATACTTTGATCCCGGTCTGCTCCGACTAGCCGTTTGCTCATCAGTCCTGTCAGAACTAAAGAGCCATCTACAACTGGGAAGATACTGACGCTTTATAAACTTCATACTTCAATACGGAGGAAGTTTTTATTTAAATTGAGTTTATCACCCCGCAGATGTTAGATGCTGTCTATCATGGAGCGCTAAGATTCATAACTGCCTGTAACTATCGTACCCACCATTGCAACCTGTATTCACTGGTTAACTGGTCACCATTAACTTCACGTAGACTCTCCCACTGGTACATTTTCATCTTTGAATCACTTCTTGGTCTGCTGCCTTCACACATCTCCTACGTGTCTCTGTCTGAGTGCAGCTACAGCGTGCGCTCTCAGGACATTATTACCTGCAGTGTTCCCTCAGTGAGGACTGAATTAGACAAAAGGACCTTCTCCTACTCGGCTCCCGTTTCCTGGAATATCTTGCAAAAAGATCTGAAGCTCTCGACCTTGACCTCTCTAAGTGGCTTCAAACATCTGTTAAGTTCATGTAAAGATCCAACGCAGACATGTTCCTGTTTTTAGTTTTCTACATCGCTTTATAATGTAGCTGTTTTTATAATGTAGTTTTTGTTTTGTTTGTTTTATTTCATTTCTTCTATTTACTTTTCATTTTATACACTTTCTTATGACTGTCTACTGTTGTCATCACTCTTTGTTTATATCAGGTCTCTCTTGTAAATGAGTCGTCGAGGCTCATTGAGACTAACGTGGATGAATAAAGGTTGAATGAATTGAAAACATGAACGAAAAGCTTCAACAGCTTCTTCATGTTTAAGATCTTTGATCTTTTTGTGTTTTCTTCCAGATTTCAACAAATTAAAGGAAACAACCGTCACTAATATATAAACACATAAAACAAACTTTGTTTTTGTGAAATGTTACAAACATTAAGTACTGGTTGTGTATTTCTGGTGATCCACAGGTAGTGGATCCTGGATCTGACCCGGTCCAAAGTCTCGGAGGTTCTCACCGGATGACGTCCTTGTGTCCGTTTCGAGCTGCCAGGTGCAGCGGCGTGGTGTAGGCCGAGTCCGTTGGTTCCTTCCGCTCTCCTTCCAGCAGTGCCACCACCATGTTGCTGCTCAGCAGCAGCTGGACCACCTGAGAAAGGACATGGAGGTTAAAGAAAACCAGAGACCCACTGATAAGTTCCAAACACCAGGACTGGAGGATCCAGCAGATCTGAGTAGATAAAATCACATTTTAATTCTTCATGTTTCTGTTTGTCATTTATTTTACGGTGCGATCATCAAAGGAGTCTGCAGGTGGTTTCAGTTCCTGCTGGAGCAGAAAAGGACATAAAATGTTTTTATTGATCTGATTATTGGTCTGAGAGCACCAAATTAATCAGCTTGTTTCTTCTTTAAACCTTTTTATGTTCAAGAGCAAAAGCAGCAACAAGAGAAAACCACGAGCCCGACTTTGAACATTTTAATTTCCCAGAAGGTTCTCGTAGCATAAAAACTTTTCACAGCTCAGACCACAAATAAGAAACACTCTGCTCTAATCGTCCAATGAAAGAAGAGCGTGGACCATAAACACGGATAATAAACGCTGGATCTGTAAACTATCTGCTGCTGAGTCAAACCATCAGGAAAAAATAAACTCCTCTTAACTTCAAGTGAAGTCTCCTGTTCAACGGCTCCTGTTTTCTGGGAAACCAGCCGAAAACAGAAAATGGAGACAAAGCTTCAGGCAGTGATGAGATGCTGCAAGACAGAGTGATGTCATGAGACATCATACTGCTGCCAGAGTCTTAACTGGAGTTAGTAGGAGAGATCATATCTCTGCAGTTTTAGCTTCTCTCCATTAGCTCCCTGTCAAGTCCAGAATTGAATTCATAATCTTACTTCTAACCTACAAAGCTCTCAACAACCTAGCTCCATCTTATATTACAGATCTTATTGTTCCATATTTTCCTAACAGAGCACTTTGTTCTCAGACTGCAGGCTTACTTGCGGTTCCTATAGTTTCCAAAAGTAGAATGGGAGGAAGATCTTTCAGTTATCAGGCTCCTCTCTTGTGGAACAAACTTCCAGTTTCTGTTCGTGAGGCTGACACGTTGTCCAGTTTAAAGACTGGACTTGATACTTTCCTTTTTGATAAATCCTATAGTTAGGGTTGGCTTGTTATGCTGCTATAGGCTTAGACTACTAGAGGACAAATTGGCCTCATGTCCTTAAATGAACTGTTAAAATTGAATAGTTTTCATTTGATATTAATTCTATCTTAACATGTGATCCTTGACCTGCCATTGTGCATCTGTTCCTACCAAACCCAGCCAGTCGAAGCAGATGACCGCTTGTCCTGAGCCTGGTTCTGCTAAAAGTTTCTTCCTCACGAAGGACTTTTTCCTTTCCACTGTCACCTTCATGTTTGCTCAAGATGAGAGTTCAATGATGGCGTTAAATTCAAAGCAGTCTGCTCCTCAGATAAATAATATTAAATTATTATTTTTATATATGAATGTTTTCGTTCAGTGCCCTGAGACGACTTCTGTTGTGACTTGGAGCTATAGAAAGAAACTGAATGGAAATGAATTGAAATTGAGACACTGCAGATGAGAGTAATGTCATGAGACTCTGCAGACGAGAGTGATGTCATGAGATATTGCAGATTAGAGTGATGTCGTGAGACTCTGCAGGTTAGAGTGATGTCATGAGACACTGCAGATGAGAGTGATGTCATGAGATTCTGCAGATGAGAGTGATGTCATCTGATTCTGCAGGCGGGAGTGATGTCATGAGATGTTGCAGGTGAGAGTGATGCTATGAGATGGTGCAGGTGAGAGTGATGCTATGAGATGCAGCAGGTGAGAGTGATGTCATGAGATGCTGCAGGTGAGAGTGAAGTCATGAGACTCTCCAGATGAGAGTAATGTCATGAGACTCTCCAGATGAGAGTAATGTCATGAGACTGCAGATGAAAATGATGTCATGAGACACTGCAGATGAGAGTGATGTTGTGAGAATCTGCAGGTGAGAGTGATGTCATGAGACGCTGCAGGTGAGAGTGATGTCATGAGACTCTGCAGATGAGTGATGTCATGAGACTGCAGATGAAAATGACGTAATGAGACACTGCAGATGAGAGTGATGTCATGAGACTCTCCAGATGATAGTGATGTCATGAGACACTGCAGATGAGTGATGTCATGAGATGCTTCAGAAGAGAGTGATGTCATGAGATGCTGCAGATGAGAGTGATGTCATGAGACACTGCAGAAAAGAGTGATGTCATGAGACGCTGCAGGCGGGAGTGATGTCACGAGATGCTGCAGATGAGAGTGATGTCACGAGATGCTGCAGATGAGAGTGATGTCATGAGATGCTGCAAATAAGTGCAATGTCATGAGACCCTGTAGATGAGTGATATCATGAGAACTTGCAGATGAGAGTGATATCATGAGTCAGGAAACGGAATCAAATCCAGATGTTTGGCAACAGAATTCAACCCTGAGAGGCCAACACTCAGACCATCTCTGCTGTGGTCCAGAGAAGTTCAGAGTCCAGCATGCTGCAGCCCTCACAACACAAAGCCAGGGTGCAGATACATCAGCAATGACCTTAGAGGAGATTTCTAAGCTGTCTGGATTCCAGACAGTTTAAGATTATTCATAAGTAGAAACAGTTCAGAAAAGATGACAGCTTTCACAGCATATTCACCCTGAAGGTCAGACTGTGCAGTGCTCAGAGAAACAAGCTCCATCTTAGATTCAGACAGGAAACAATGTGTTTACAGTCAGACAGTAAACAACATGTATACTTTCTGACTGTAAACATGTTGTTTACCTTCAGACGGTGTAACAAACACAAACAGGTGACAGGAGTGGCTCACCTTGGCTCGTCCGAACTCACAGGCCAGATCCAGAGGAGTCTTCTTGGTTTTGTTGACCAGACATGGGTTGGACTGATGCTGCAGCAGCATCTCTGACTGAAACAACAACAACAACAACAACAAGTTGGCAGACAGACAGGGTCTGGGTTTTCCACATCTAAACTTTCTAATGTTAACAAGTTAACAAGAGGAGAACATTTGGCACATTTTACTCCCGTCAACAAACCAATAAATAACTATCTATAGCAATGGCTTGGAAAAGCAAAGACCTTGTATAACTTTGACCCTGATTAGTGACTTTGACCTTGGAGCAGAGGTGATGTAAAGTGCACATGACCCTCTGTCTAGTGATGATGAGTTTGTGTATGAAATTTCAATAAATTATCTTGAGCGGATCAGTTTTGGATGGGGCAAGAAATAGTTTATGTCTTTATCAATGTGCATATTATATAACCGTGGTTCCCAGCACTGGTCCTTGAGGAATGCCATCCTTCA